GTTGAAACTGTTACTATATCATGACTGTAAGGTATGAAATAGATAAGCTGTGAGAAAAATCAAGCTCCTCTGCTTTCTCCCAGTATCAACTAGAAACAACCAGTCAGACCCAGGAGGTGGGTATCAGCATTGTCAATCACCTCTCTGTGTGGTGCTGCTCATCCTCCCTCCCCTTTACCCCCTGTGCTATCTGCTAAACCATAGCTAGCATAGCCAGTCGTGAATGCTACGGCATGGCCACCAAAAACAGCAAGGGTTTAAGACAGTTCTACTCTAATGTAAATTGTTTCTCTGCCATTACCACATTTAGCGCTATCAATCAACCACATGTACTCACATGTGGTTGGTTGATTGATAGCGCTAATACCCTCCCCTCCTGGCTCTGATTGCTTGCTTTTGGTCAGGAATGGTGCATTTCTTCAGATGGCAATAGTAGTTCAGGTGGAGGAGATTAATCTTTTCACAGATGGTCTGTCACAATATGGTGACAGTTTAAAACAAAAATATATATAAAAAAACAGTTTTTATAAAACTTACATACTGCAGCTTTCACTAGTTCTTTTTACCAAGTGAATCTTCCTAACTTTTATAGTTTTATAGTGTTTTATTTTAATCTTCTTGATATTTCAGTGAAGAGACCAACTTGATTAAGAAATCTCTTCACTCTTAAGGATAAGAATCCTTACAACAGTTTTCAAGACTAAATCATAAAAGCTGGAAGGTATAATATTTAATTATTAAGCCTTGAACATTTGTTCATGTAAACAATTTTTAAAAAGGTTTGAGAAGAAAATAGCTTTTAAAAAAACATATGGATGGTCTTCAGCCTCTATTTATCTTGTACTTCTTGACCACTAGTACCATCGTATGTCCATTGTTTAAAAATCTGAAATGCTTTTATATCTTTTTAATTTTTTTGTAACAACCATGACTGGGCAAGCCCAGTCCCCATCAACCTGGAAAATCGATGTTGCTTTTTGAACCGTTCAGATAAAATCATGTGGTATGACCTCGACTTTAGTTGCCTACCTCTCTTTTTTTTTTCCTCCGCTGCTTCTATCTGTTTGTATCTTAACTTTTTTCACTCCCCCTCTCTCTACATCTTTGAATTCTCAGGGTAGAAGAAGTTCAGACACAGTTGAGTGTGAAATATATCAGTGGAGCTTTGCAGCGTTAGACGGCCCCCTGTTGTCTGAACTTGGAGCTTGCCCCTATTTCTCTTCATTGTTTAAAGAGACAAAGCTGCACAGGAGCAGGGAGGTGGATTCGATGGAACTACAGAAGGGCTTATGTAAGTGATGAAACAATGCTTACAGTTTGTAGAGAAGGTTATATTTTATTAAAACTGCAAACATGATAAAAGAAAGCTGCATTTCTATATTTCTGAATGTCAGTTTACCAGCATTATATCAGCAAGGGACACACAATGAGCTGTACATGATTGGGCAAAGCTGGAATAAAACCTCTTCCTCTCTGACTTTTGTCTGACTCTTGTTTCTCCTAAAGATTGTTAGAAGAAGAATGTCTTGATCCAGCCAGCAATCTAAAAATACTACAGACATTCAGCAGCTGCCTGCTACTGCTAATGAATTCAGCACAGCTCTTTCTAATTAAGGCCTTCCAAGCATTGAGATGCCCAACACATCCTCAGATGTCATTCACGATACATAATTACATTGAAAACTGTTTCCAAGATAGAAGGAAGCAAAAAACAAAAAAAAAGAAAGAGAAAAAAGAGAAAACATCTGAAGATCATGTGAACACAGGCAGAATCACAGTTTTGATCGTGGTGTTAAGCACTGTTTATTTCCTTTTTTTATTTTTATTTTTTATCAATACAACAAATCACAATAAAATATTTAATCACATTTATATTTCACACTGTCAAGAAACTACTTCCTTCAAGTTCTGCTGTTTCTTGCATTCATTTCACAATATGTTGGTCATACCTTCAGCTGCTGGGTGACCAGCCTGAGCTTAATGAAGAGCTACAAAGCTTCCACGTCTCTCCCACTGTGTCCATTCATAAGGCAGGTAAAGCATCTTCACTGGTCTACATCTATGTTAATCTACACTTTACCCAATAAGCATGCAGCCAGGATGTTGCTCATGGTGAATCTGTACATGTGTTTCCAGGTGTGTAACTGCATACAGGTGCTAAAAGTGAGTACATCTGTGCTCACCTGCATCAACATCTGTGTATGTGTGCGCTTGCATGAACAGAACTAAGCTTAGCCAGCAGTTGCCATGGTGAAAAGGGATCTAACAGCTCCCTGGAGGGGATGGAGTCCCAGTAAAACCAATAGGGCGGGTGGTTCTCGGCTCAGTGTGTTGTGTCGTTCAGTTCAAATCTTCTCTTTTTGCGTTTCTAAAAAGCAGGAGCCACCTGTCTATGCTGTGTGAGTTTCTGGGGGTCCAGGGTTTCGGTGAAGGGCGTGGCTTGGTAGGGGTTGGTGGTAACGATGGTGCCTCCGTTGGGGATGGGGTAGGGAGTGGCTCGGGCGTTGCTTGAAGGAAGGTCAAGGTGCTGCCAGGTGAATAAGTTTGTATTGCTGCCGGTTAGATAGCGCCGAAGAGCACTTAGCGTCAACACGGCCTGTTAGTAACACAAACATAAACAAGAATGAAAATGAATCATAATGTCAAAGGTTCAGAGAAACATTCAGCAAACTTAATTATTCCTAAGCTGTTGCAGGTGCAACAATATGAAATGATAAACTGAGATAAACAGTAAGAGACAAGACGATGTTTAATCAACTTTAGTAAGACTAAGAATCTTAAATTAGGAAAAATCATTACACACTGTAGCATTCTAATACTGGCTTATTTATTAACCTTTTGTTCTTTCTCAGACCATAAAGCTCAGTACAGCGCAATCTTTAGTCAAACTACTGCGCCATGTGAGGAGGACAAGCTCTATTTGATGCAAGGCCTCAGCAACACGCAACACCACACATAAATATAAAAACAAAAAAATAAAACACAATAAGATATCTATCTTATCTAACAATAAGATATATTTCTATTTACAAATAGAAATATAGAAAAGGTCTCTAAGTCACAGTAACAGTCATAATGTGGTTAATAAACAACATGAAAGGTTGCTGTTATTGATCATAAAAATACTTAGGAGATACCTGTAATCAATTTGTCTGGAAGGTATGGAAGGTCTTGGAATGTGTTTAGTTTTTGAGACTTTTTTTTATCTTTCTGCAGTTTTCTAAAGAACAAAATCTTAAGCAGTAACCGCTAAATGTAGTCATTTTAACTAGGATTTATTAATTATATGTGGTTTATCTTTGATATTTCAAATTGACCCTTGATTTGGACATTTTGCAAAATAATGTTTTGGGGTTGGCTTACTTAATGAATGTCCCAGATTTTGCTGGGACCTCAGTCCTCTAATCCTAGAAATGTTCTTCAGGTGATAGAAGGCCAACTTTGTGACTGTCTTA